GCTGTGTAAATGTACACTAAATATACTGCCGTGCATGACAGTGCCCATGTTAATACAGCTGGGCTCTTCATACAGCAGTAGTTCTATTGTCCAGTTGTACCAGGCCTCTAAGGTTATGTATCAGAAATGTTTTAAGAATATCCTCACAGTCACACAGCTAAATCAGCTGTAGTTTCCTGCCAATATTGTGCATTGTTCTGCAAAAACATCCATTTCCATTTCCAACATGACACTTCGTAGGCTGGGGCAGGCAGAAACCATCATGGTGGAGTTTACCAGTTCTGTTTGGGTCTGGGCATACAAAGACCGACCAGCTCCTCGCACCACCCAGCAAAACAGTGAACACTTCCCTTTATTGATCAGCCGGGCCTAGCCTGTTCTTCACAGTAGAAGAATTCGATATTTGAAGTGTAAGTTTGTTTTCCATATGTGGCAGCTGTACTTCAGCAGAAGGTTAGGATGTAAATGTTTCAGCACAGAGCTTGGGCAACACTTTTTGCTTCCCTTGGACTGTTGTATCTTTCTCTCTTCTATGGTACCTCACTCAGCAAACATACAGGAAATACAGAGAGCACACACTTCACTTTAAAGTCCCACCCAGGGTGACAAGCGGATTAAAGAAAACAATCACTAATCTACATGGAAATTTCAAAATATCTGAACCGGATCTGTCAAGGAGATCAGGAGAGTCTGCAGATTGAAAATGGTACTGATGTATCATATATCGATGTCATAATGTTGCACCTGTAAACCCCTTGGGCATAAGGACAAAACTATAAAGGGGACAACTTTGGAAATCCCACGTCCAGTATTCTATTAATATTCTGAGGAGCTCAAGTGGAAGAGGGAAGATCATGAAAAATCATAGTAAGGTAGATGTAAAGACTAATTAAATCGTCAACTAACTTCCTTGACATAATTAAACAACTTAAATCCATTATAAAACTGAAGGAAATATATATACCTTTATTTTTAATTCATTGTGACATCAAATAGCTAAAGAAGTGTAAGCACCAGAACATTAACATATCTTTCTTGGATTTAGTTTTCGAGCTTCTACTAGGGCTTTCAAATGCTTAATGGCAGTTGCTCAGAACTCACAGACATACAGAAGCAAGGATTCTCAATTCTCCCTAAATCTAGCAGGGTGATGCTCTTTACTCACACTTTTCTGGACATTCCACTCAAAGCGCTTTACAGGTAATGGGGATCCCCTTCACCACCACCAGTGTGCAGCCCCACCTGGATGATGTGATGGCAGCCAGTACTCTCACCACACGACAGCTCTCAGTGGGAGGAGAATGGAGTGATGAAGCCAGTTCATAGATAGGGATTATTAGGAGGCCATGTTTAGTCACGTCCAGGGGTGTAAATGTGGCCAGGACACTGGGGTAACACCCCTTCTCTTTTTGAGAAATAACCTGGGATTTTTAATGCCCACATAGAGTCAGGACCTTGGTTTTACCTCTCAACCAAAGGCAGGACTAGGACCCACACAGACCACAGGGTGAGTGCCCCCTACTGATTTCTTCTATCTGCAACCTTATTTTTTCCCAGGAGGTCTCCCATCCAGGTACTGGCCAGACTCACACCTGCTGAGCTTCAGTGGTTGGCCAGTTGTGAGTTTTAGGGTGCACCAGGTAAGAGCAATTCACCATCATTATTGATTCATTAATCATTATTGATTCTCCATACCTAGAATCAACACAACTTGCAATCCTTATTCTTGCATTTAGCTGAACACATTTATTCCTGAGCTTTACACAAGGGAAAGAACTTGGGGTAGATAAATATTCTAAACTATTTAATATTGATTTGATCTGAACTATCAGAACATAATAGTTCTCCTTATTCTAGCTGTATAAGATATTAAAAAATAACCTAATCTTTGTTTACCATCAATACAAGGTTAATAACTTCTGTACATCTTACAAATCCATTGGAGAGGTTAATCAACACAGGAATTTGAAGATCAAAAAAGGATGGAGTTTTTTTTTAAAGCATCAGCCTTCGGCTCAGGGCCAGACTGTGGTGGAGAAAATGTTTTTTACACACTCATGTCCCATTACAGTAATCATTAATAAACTCCAGCTATAAAGGCTTTCCACAGGCCTGAGCTGAAGCAGAGTGTTACCTGTGCCATTCATGGTCTACTTTGCACACATACGATGACATGAAACCTACCGCACCAAAAACCTGGAACATGACATACTGGCAAATTAATTAAAATAGTTTAGATCTTAAAAAAGTCTCCCTTCATCTATTTCTGAGAGAGACAGAAAGACTGGGAGAAATTCAAAACAGCTGTTGTGCAAGTGCAAGACTTCAAATATTTTTTCCTATGGCAAATATTTATTCTAAATCCAGCTCCATTGTTGGAAATATTTGCGCTAATGTATTAATATTTTTCAGATGCAGATTTCTGAAATACAAAACAAATACAAAAACTATTGCATGAAGAGCTTGACAGGGAGTTAATAAAAAGTTCATTGTAAATAATTCAGTTAAAAGGTGTGGTCACAATTACTTTCTTTTTGTCTGCTGTGCTTGTGCAACACTCTTTATTTCTGGATTTCTGTCATTGAAATGTGTGTCTCTTGGCTGGAAATAGCTTTTTTACCTTCAGTCCCTGAGAGGTTCAAAAAGATTTAATTTTGTTCTTTGCTTTTTTAAAACCAACTATTCTTTTGCATACTTTTGTCAGAGTTTTCTTAAAATAAAATCTCTTACTGAAAATAAATGTTGATAACAATAAGCCACTTTTATAAAACAAAATCCAAATACCCTCAGTAAAGAAACATTGGCTTTAAATATGATTTCATTCTTTCTGGTATTTTAATGTGGGGGCCATAGTAATTAATTTTATTAGGAGATGTCACTGTTCAATTTCAGAAACCAATGAATCAGCAAACCACCTCTGTCTCATGAGGAATTGTGCAAAGAAATCATTACTAGTAGCATAATATCTCTTGTAAAGGCATAACTCAGTTAACATCTTTAACACAAAACAAACACAATAATCTTGTATACTACTGAAGTACATTCAAAGCAAAGATGTTTTTTCAAATTCACCAAAATGAATAGAGTGAAAAGCTGTGAACTGGCCAGCAGAACTGGTCTCTGCCCTGAGGCAATCACCAATGACTTCTTGAATAATGCTTCTATTTAAATCTCAGCAAAAATCTCACCCCTAAAGACCTCATTTTCTAGCTTGTACATGAAATGGGATTTTCCTCACCTTCCCTTTAAAATACAGCACGCTAAACTGGAACAGCATCATTCAGGGGCACTCTTGTCTCTGTCTTCTAAAACATATTTTACAAATCTACACATACTGTATAAACTACTAAAGACAAATTAAAGATGTCTACACCAGTTCATTTCCTCTGGATTGAGATTGCTCGATGTTATATATTTTCTCCACAGCTTAGTCCTACATGCAGAGTCCCGTCTGCATAGTGATCCAGATCACATATTGGGATCAGACACGATGCATGCTGCATTCTTATTGAAATGCAAAGTGTAGAGATATTTCTATAGTGTAAATTTAGAGGAAGCAAAATAATTATTCCCAACAGGTCCTAGACAGGATATATTTTCATAAAAGAAACAGCCTGAATATATATTTTTTTCTCCATGAAAAAACAAACACTTCAAGTGGCTATTCAATATCGCAAAAAGCACATGTCAGGGCCGGTCTGTGTTCCGGCCATTATGTAACTAACCAAAAAAGTATTTATGTGGACTTCTAACTCTTTCTGCCCTCAGTGCACGTGGCATTGACTCAATGCTAAACTAATTTGAAATTAAATTATGACAAAACAAAACCAAAGCTAAGAAACAACACCATCTAACACTGGTCACATTCAGTACAACGATCAACTGTTTAAGTTGACATTTGACTTCGTATCCAAGGGAACTTCAACAGTAGTTTTACAAACTATGCATATTAGTTCTACGTCTTTTCCCCAGACCTCGCCTTGGAGAAAATGCAAGATTTAATCTTTTAGCGGTCCCTGCCGAAGTATGACGTCGTGGTTGCCAGTTCGTTTCCTCTCTTTACCTCCTCTACACACAGACCACTGGAAGTTTTCAAAGAACGAAATTCACCGAACGCTCATAACTTGTATCCGTGTATCTCGGGACTAAAACATCGAAGCTGAAACACTCTTATGGCGCTGTAAACACTTTGCTCCGAGACTACCACCCCAGAGGCTGTTTCCTTCCTACTTTCCCGTGCCGCGTTTCGGGAGATCCTTGCGTCTTTTTTCGCATACACACAATCCCTCTCTGTGAGTAAGCAGAAAAGCACAAGCTGGTGTTGTCTCAACCCGTCCATGTTTTCACAGTTCTACCACAATTCTCTATCACCCCCCCTTTCACTTCGCTCCTTCGAAAGGCCTCGAACCGCTGTCGGTTCCGGTGCACATTCTGTCTCGTTGTGTAACTCAATCCTGCGCTCACACCAAATCCGTCAGATTACAAATGCAGACAGCAGCTTTTCAGAGTCCGCAAATCCGCTCATAATACGCGTGTAAATAACAACTGAGGCTAGTGGAACCTTCTGACCATGAGTCTTAAGCAACCTTAATTAACACAACGAGAGAAGAGGAGGCAGAGAGGGTGTGTGAATGTGTGTGGCAGTAGTGGGGGGGGGGGGGGGGGGGGGTTATCCTGATGGAGGCAGGGAAGAAACCCATAAACTATAATGAACGATTCGTTCTGAGCATCCAACCTACCTTTCTTGGATTACATTGTGTAATCGTGCCTCCCTTTCCCCCGTGATGATGATAATGTCTCCCTTGCTGATGGTCAGCGTGTGTGAAGCTCCGGTCTCGCAATGTGTAGGCTGCTATCCTTAGCGGGTTTGAACTGGACAGACACCCCTTCTGCTGCTCACAATTCGGGGTACATCGAAGGAGTCGAATTCGAAACCCGAGCATCATCCTTCACCAGTATGTTGTTAGGTATCCCGGACTAACCAAATAACTGGATAGGTGCATCCTTAAAGCGAGGAGAAAACACCAGACCGCTCCTGCTCGAAGAGGGTTTTCCCCACGACCACAGGCAGGGACTCCTTTTGGTGAATATAGGTCTTCCACGGCGAGGAGCTGTCCAGGTGCTGAAAAGGTGATTAACCTCAGATTCCCGTGAACGCTGGTGGGTAGCGCCTTTATAAGCGAAATGAAAATCTCATTCGATCACAACGCCATCGACTTGAACGGTAAAGGAGGAGGTTTTTACGAGTGTGACGGAAAACGATGAAATGTCCAGTACATTGCCAATGCAGTCGCAGTCCTGATACGCGAACACATTTCCACTAACAACCTTGTGCTGTGCCGATAGGTCTCTGTAAAGCCGAATGAAAGCTCGACTTTAGTCACCTCGTTTTTTTTCAAGACACCAGCTTTATGCTTCAATTGCCCCTCTCCGTATCTGAAGTCATTTTTTCCAGGTTTCCTGAAATAAAGACACTACGGGGATAGATTTGTTATCTTTATACCAATTGGTTTAACCATTCGTCATTCAAGCAGATTAGCCCCTCGATGGTTAAAGCACACATCAATCAATCTCATAGCTGCTTCGCAGGCTCTTTATAATTAAACAAGGCTGTCCGTAGTCTGCTGAAGGGGTTGAGCTATCTCAAAATATGTGATTGTCATTGGGTTATTCTACCGGAGAAAACTGGGAGTTAGAAATTATCATAATATTCAGAGACATAAAGACACAATCTTGGGAAAATGCATCTATATGGCACGCTACAGAGGAAAATATTTCCATTTCGTTCTTCGTTGTCGGTTCTCAAATATTTCAGGGGATACAAACCGTCATTTGTTTATGCGTGTTCCCCTGCCATTTTCTCCGGATAAATGATTTTCAAGTGGAAGCATGACATGATTCAGTATCAGAGGCTTAGCAGTCTGTAGCATTTGGAGGTGTAAGGCAACAGAAAATCTTTCAAATTAAACGGCGGAGATGTTACTAGGTTACAGCAAAAATGATGATGCGGAGAATGCTGTTATTTAAACGGCAAATTAGCGTCGACCACATGGAAAAACGAGAATATTCAAGCAGTGTTGAGAGAATGAAGTGAGAGAATGTGCGCGTTATGTTATGAAATAAATACGTAATTCGAGCGCTGTGCAAACTAACCAATAGAAAAGTCCATTTTGATGGTTTATTCAAATATATGAATTCATCGCTCGTTATTTTTCTTCTCATAAACGACTGACAGGTTTGTATTGATAACTGGACCGAAAGGTTTGCATTGATAATCACGATGGTCTTCTAGACCATGGAGATATTATCCTTTTTTAGGCTGTCGCCTTAACAAAGGTAATAAAAGAATGCGTAATCCATCCAATCCATAAAATAATGTGTCAAATACAACCATCACACGGACTAGGAGCACTGTTAGGGCAGCAGAATTGTGAAATTGTGTCTGATTTATACTGTAGCTGTACTGCACAGTGAAGCCCTGTTTTTAAACCAAATAATCCTCTGTAAACGTATTTGAAAGCTAGTGTCAAGTTATGGAGACGTAATTTAGTTATAAGAGTATGGCAATTTATCACTTTATTTAATAAGTAATATACGAGGCGTCTGATACGCAGACAACACGGAAACAACCCAAAGCACCCCGTGTATTGCAATATGCTTGGAATGCGAGGGAAAGAGAACTCCTTCTCCAAAGCAGCACGTACCGTTAGAGGTTTTGGTTTCATCACTACAAAACGCATTCATCTTGTGCCTACAACGGTACGTGCTTTTCCTCAGCACAGGCTAACAGTAAAGAATGAACAGGATCTAGGCTTCATGGAATATCAGTGCATTTACTCTCCCTTTCCGCACAACACACGCACATCTTCATTTTCTGTAAATTTTTTAATGTTCATCAACTTCTCAAAACATTAAAGAATTTACGATTTGCGCAATTTTATTGCGAAGAACATATGTTTCAGATTGAGTTGCAGATGTAAAGTCTGAGCTCCCCTTTGACACTGATGTCACTTTACAATAAAAAGAAGTTAAAACATCCCCTCATTCTCAGCATTTTAAGTGTCGGGATCAGAGGTGAAGCAATTCCACTGTCTAAACACATACACTTTCAATTCTGTAAGTAACGAGTTATATCAAATTCTACAAATAAATGTTTTTTTCTGTATATTACAATTACAATTTCCAGGCTCTCTCACTGTACAGCAGACAATAGCTGAGTTGGAAAAAAACACACAGCGGGTATCTTAAATTAGGACAATGCCAACATAATTAACGAAATAAAGACCAGTTTTATTATTAGCATTTTTGTTTTTAACTAAAAATATTTCCCAGTCAACATATTAGTCAGCACAGAAGTCATCACATTTATAGAGCAAACAAAAACCACATCTCCATCTGTTTAGCAAATTTATACAACTAATTGGAGAAAAAACGCCCTAATTTAAAGCTAGAGCTAACTGAATTATGAAACACCTTTTCCTTAACAACGCTACAACTGTAAATCCAATCATCGTGAAATTCAAAGAGTGTGATACATTAGTAACACCGCAGTGCACCGGAATGTACCGGGATGTACTGGGATGAGAAGAATCTAATTTACTCATGCAAATGAGCACAATTAAATAAACACACTTTCCACAATAAGTTTAAGGGCATATTATGAATCTCCACAAAATCTGTAGGACAGCTTAACTGTCACTAAAAGAAAATTGCTTATGTAAATTAGGTTGATTAGTATGTAGCTAATACGCATAAGCAGACTTAATTATAAAATATTATTCTTAGTTGGTGGAAAAGTAATTTCACTGCTTACTGGCATATATCAGCTGCCTAAATACTGAAGAATTGGCCTGTTTGCCCTCATGTAAATGTACCAGTGCAACTGCTTTAAAATATGTGTAAAAGCAACTGAAAGTTATAAGTAGATGTTAGGTACTGTGTGAGCACACTTCCATGACAGTTATGTGAGATGATTATTCACAAAAGTGCATTTGACGCATGCTTCATAAACATAATCCATTAAAAAAAACATCATCAACATGGACATGGACATTAAATAGAAACGCTCAGTGTAAAAAAATAGTTACCAAAGAACTATCAAATACACACCAAAGGAAGGCTTCACCACCAAATATACATATTATCAAACCTTTCTGGAAAGATATTAAGTATATTAAATGCATAGAACAAATAAGCAAGTGCCATAAGATAGGATCACACACAGAGACACATAGTACATATTTGAGCCAAAGGGCACATCAGGCTGAAATCTGTTCTGGTTTTCACTGCATTGAATAGAGAGCACACGGCTCCCACCTAGAATATTTCCTGGATGAAATTATAGTCCTTTGCACATAAGATCACAGCCCTAATGTAAAAAATAAAGCAGATCTCTGAAAGCCAAGAGGACTTACTGACTCTACAGCAAGCAGGATTCATAAGCATGTCTGTTCATTACAAGAGCAAGTCTGTCAAATACTGTCAGTGACAGCTATTGTTTTCTCACAGCAATCTCCTGGGCCATGTACTCGTGATGCTCCAGCTACTGTGCTTGGATCAGCTGGGTAGTTTTTCTTCCAGCTTATAAATGAGGCATCATAAAGACCTCAATGATGAACACAAACGGCTGTGGGGCAGGGCTTGCATGTCTACACATAAGACATTAATAATGTATTGTGTTATATTTACAGAGGTGGTCTCATTGTCTCTACAACTATTAATCACTACAAATGAAGTCTTTTCTAAAAGGGGCCACTGCAATTATTGTCACAAAAGACAGGATTCAATTGAAATTTGTACACATGCTGCTTGTCCAGTGAAGACTTTCTGTAGAGGACTACATACTGTATGATGAATGGACATTCTCTTTCTCCAGTAACTGGATTTTGAAAGCTTGACAGGGCCAAAAAAAAAAAAGCCAAGGACAAAACTACCAAGAATCACAGCTCAGGAGTAGCAGCATGACTAAATCCTATCTGACGTTGTCATCAGTCCTTGTATGGCTGCAGCAGTCTACCTGGAATCTCTCACAGGAAGACCAGAGCTTTATGTCTGTCTGCCATTTACACAAGTATGATGTTGGCTCAGACATAATCTATAGTATTGTCAGAATTCTTTCTACTTGAACAGGGAGGATTGTAATCTGCTTGGAACAGGAGTTTTATGGCAGTATTGTCAGAAGTTGCCTATTTTCAATAAAGAGGATCCACAACTGTTAATATTTGTCATGCAGTAAGTTAGTTGAAGCACTATTCATGCTAGGAAAATACATACAGTGATGTGCTATGCTGAAGTGTCAAATCTTTCTTCTGTATTGCCATGACTGTGGTTAAGGACAGGCTTGCTCATGACCATGCTGCAAGCTTGACTATAATATCGAAAGTTTGTTACCTCTGTGGCAGGACTGCTTCTCGTATGGTTCTATTTGCTGAAATTTGGAAATACCAATTTGTGGTATTTTATGACTTGCTACTGTAAGTGACTCGTGTACTGAAAGGAAAGAAAGAGAACCCACAGACATGCTCCTACAACGTGCCAGTTTGCCAGAACCATTTATCTTCTTACTCACTGGGAGCTCCACAGTGCCTGACAGAAGAGTGAGCTGGGTAGGCACCTTGCTGGAAGATCTCTGTGTCTCTTGCCTAGACGAGACTACTATAGGCCTGCAGGGGAACAAAAAGTAAATCATGGCCACTGTTCCACCCAAAACAAGAAGATCATTACTAAACAATGCCCACTCTACCTTGGAGATTAACATTTGCTCGCTGTTGCTCAGGGAATCTCAGGTAAACCACCCAGTAACAGATTGGGCTATAAGACACAGCAAATATCTTTAATGGCTGATACACTCTGAGCCCTGTGACTGTGCAAATCACACAATGTTTGTACTTTTTTGCGTTGCTAAGTTTTTAGCTCTGGTCAGTAGTCTCTGATTCCGTTAACAGTTTTTTTGTAAGCACCTCAGCTAGATGTGATAGGCAGGTACTGTATGTGTTAACTCCACAAGTTTGATTCCTCCAAGGAAATTCTAACCAGACTAAAACAAATCTCACATCATTTTGGGTTCCTGGAAACATTTAATAGTGTAATCACTCGTAGTGGCAGAGATAAAACAGCTACCTTTGAAAAACTGTTAAATATGTGCTCTCAAACCATGTAGTGTATTAGGAAATTCTGAATATATGTTTTTTATATCTACAGCTATTTCAGGTTTAATATAACCTACTGGAGGAGAAGCATATTTCTAAAAAATAATGTACCAGTAGACAAGCAGTAGCTGAAAAGCTAAATAGACATTTTTGCTATTTTCTCAAACCCTTTGCTTTGCAGTTCCCAAGAACCTACGTGTTAAAGCTTTAAGCTCCTTTACTTAATGTTCACTTTTCATTTTTAGTCACAGAATTGAAGACGTTCATGCAAAATCAAATTTATGTGATGCTACAGAGACAAAACAGTGTGGGTTAGGCAAAACAAAGCTACAGCAAAGCTCTGCCTTTTACATGTACAGACATGGTACTTTATGGATCCTGAAACAGCCGCTGGTGTGTAACATGCTGAGATCTTTTTTGCTACAAAGGCACTGGAAAGTCCACATGCACACATGTATGTTTAATATGGAGGTGATCTGCTTGGCAAAAAAAAAAACATCAAGAGTTAGGATGTTCCTGAGCGCTGTTTCCAATAAGTGCATTTGTGAGCAGCAGGACAGAAATCTCAAAGCGCTGATCAGCGCGGCCAGGCGAATCATTGCTGCGTGCTCTTCAGGTTGGGAAAGTTAAGCCATGCGTTTGGCTGTTGGAGGTTGACAATTAGGGTAA